CGTAATTTTGTGGTCAGATACATTTAGTTGTCTCCACTTGTGTTTTCTCTCACTACACTTGTGCGATTATTTGGAAGTAATGAATTAGAAGTATAGAATGAACTTTTAGGCGTTTGTTTATCAATGAGTTATGGCTGAACTATCGAGTTTTGCATTACAGGAAATGATTTCACACATTATTTATTGTGCTCAGTGGCGAGACTTTTTACATTAAATAGTATGTTAAATAAATTTATGTATTCATTAATTATTGTTTTTATTATCCATATGTTGTTGTTAAGGTCAATACATATTTGCATAAAATATAAACAACGAAAGAGGAAAAACATGAAAGTTTCTGGTTTACTCTGTTCATCTCTTTTTATTATAGCAATGGAAACATTACTATTTCGAATTTTCCCATTATTTCATTTACCTGTTATGTCTGACATTGAATCCAAACAGTATGTCTAAGTAAATGATTGCATGAAAAAGTTTCCTTTACCATATTCTTCATGGGATAAATGTATGCGAAAATGAATATTACCGTCTGTTTGCATTTTACGTTCCTCTCCCAGAAAAAAAATCGATTTTCTTTTCTTTTCACACAAATACATATAATGAGGCATTGTCAAATACTACGCTTCTAACAAGCAAATTAAGAAATACAGAAACTTTGAAATACTTTGTTAAGTAATCCATATTTTTATACTTCTTATGCAATTTCTAGAATGAAATTGAAGTTTTTTAAACTGTTAGTATTACATAATTTTTTTTTCAGAAGGGGCTTTGTGAAGATTTCAGTATTTTCATAGTTGAAATCATGAGTCAATTGAAGCTAGACCACCATCGAAAACCTGGAAGCACTGGACGGCCGTTTCGTCCTATTATGGGACTCCTCAGCGATGCACATCCACGATCCCGCACTCGCGAGATTCGAACCCAGGACCTACCAAGAGCACTTAACCGATAGACCGCTGAGCCGGTATCCAACGGTGTTAATGTCTAACTCCAACCAATCCACGATGTATGAGCAACCGTTCACCGATTGTCTTCAGTGAGTTGATATCTCCCAACAGACTTGGTTGAACTCCACTAGTCACTGCTTCCCACTAGAACTCAAGGAAACATCTCTTGAAGTCAGTCGTGCATGTGCACTGCTGAGGAGTCCCATAATCGGACGAAACGGCCGTCAAATTCTTTCAGGTTTCCCATGGTGGTTTAGCTTCAATGGAATCGTGATTTCAATTATGAAAATAATAATTTTTGACAATTATATCTACCTCATAAAGTCGTTCACACATTCTGCTTGACATTTGAGTTAATGATAATAAATAAATAAAATCACTGTATCGTTCTCTTATTATGTACATTTTTATTATTTTCTACACATGATATTTTATAGATCAACAATTCAGCTCGCTTCCATCAGATAGTAACGAGAAAATAGTGTAGTGAACAAGAAGACGAGTGGGGACAATTGAGTGTACTTCAGTGCACAATCACAGAATATCTCACTAAAATCTGACAACCATGCAGTAACAGTTAATTTGCAAACTGTCAATCAATTGTCTCAAACTTGATTATTTCTTCTGCAAATATCAGTCCATAGTCTCTCATTTCATTGTTCATGCATTTTCATACCAATCGCATTCCGTTTTCGTTCTTTCCTTATCGATCCTCTACTGAAATACATTCAACTCAAAAGCTTCTGTCTGTAGAAAAGTTTACCAATTTATGATAGTGTGAGACAATAAAATCATTGAGTTTAATTATTTTCAATGACGTAAATGTATTTTAAATCGATTTCAATGGAAATCGCTTATTATAATATTTTGGCATTTTTGATTACATCAGTTATTTAAAACTGTAGGAAAATAATAAATATCCGTCAAAAATGTGACATAAGTGCGGGGATGTAAGAGTACCATATTTTTTTTGATTGCATATGTTTCTTGAACTATTACTTTCACCAGTAAACTAGCAAAAATGAAATAAAACACCTTTTAAGTCAATAATAAATTTGATTAAAGTAGATTATCAAGATGTTAGTTAGGCTTCCCTCCTGATGGTTAACTACATCTATAAATCATCTGGGTTATGTACAAAAAGAAGATTATCTCCAAGTTATTAACATGATGTGACGAAGTGCAGAACGCTACGTTAGCTTACATATTGTTTCCCTTGTATGAAGTGCTCTTTATTTCAAAAACCGTGATACTACTAGATATGTTTGTTCACCATCATCACTATTTTGTTAATTTGGATCTTTTACGTCAATGATAAGGTTTAATCAGTCAATGGAAATTAATTACAGTTCACCCCGATTGCATAGCCCGATGGTTATCTGAGCTCTGTATCAGAGTGAATAACGCAGCAGGATTTCAATTGAGCTATACTGGTTTCGACGTTTGGAGTGAACAATAAACTGTGAAATCAATGTACGTCCAGTTGACAACTCCCAGATAAAATGAGAAACTCGTCTTTGACTCTACTTCCAACCACTATCCAACTTTGTTCAATGACAATATTGAGAAAATCCACAGGAAAAGTACTTGTGCCAAAATAAACTGATCAATTCCAGACCTAAACACAAATGGGAAGATTCAAGCAACTAATACAAATGAATTGTATAATTTTATGTTTTGTTAATTTTTAAAAAAATTTCACAATGAAATCTGATTACTTAAAACTAGTAAAATCAGATTATGTATAATATCAATTAAAACAAATTGTTTTTCAAGAAATTTAAATAATTTTTCTGACTGAATATCTGTATAACTATTTGTTCAAATTATGTTAATTAATTAAAACACACGGACTTGTTTTACATATTGGAAATAACATTTGTCTTGCTTAGTCTGAAATGAGTTAAATCACTTTGTTAGCAAATAATTTAAATCATTTGTTATTGATTGAGATCATAAATCGATTGATTTCAGAACACCATTAAAAACCTGGATCCTGCTCGCAGGATCGTGGATGCGCACTGCTGAGGAGTCGTATACTAGGACGAAACGACCGTCCAGTGCTTCCAGGTTTTCAATGGTAGTCTAACACTAATCAATTCATGATCTCAATCAATAACTTAACAATCTTCACAACCCCATACTGGTTACTACAAGTTCATCAAAATTAATTATTATAACATAATAAATTTCCCATGTATAATTAAATATTTAACAGTATGAAGGTTTGTAACAAGTATTACATACTACACATTGCAACTCTGTATACACCTGCATCATTATCAAGAGCAGTTTATTACTACTACAACCTATCAATCAAATCCACGGGATATTTTGTTTAATGTAGAAATTTTTAATAATCAGTATTAAAGAACATTCATTGTATTTTTGCTTGTAATATTTTATGAGGTAGTATGTGTTGTACGCTGTTATCTTCACTACAAACTGGATACCTCAACGAACAATGTTTCGACCATTTCTTCGGTGCTGTTTTTTTAAATCATCCCTTTATAGAGAATCATCAAGAGTCATAAATCTAATTCAATGCTATTAACATGACATTTATAACATAAGTGTGAATTTATCAGTCGATGGTATAAATATGTTCAATAGTTCTTTAGATATGGAAATCTGACCTTTTTGTCAACAAAAGTAAACGGCATATTTCTCAATATTAATAACCCTGTCATTTTTTTTAAAAAACTACTCCCAGTATCAGAATCGCTAATAATACTATTACGGTAGACGTTGATCACAAAAATCTTTGCAATAGTTGTTGGGAAGTCTAAAGACTTTCAGTACATAAAAAGCACGGAGTTGGCAGAACACATGGGGTCTAGTCGAGAAGAAAGATCATATTTCAGAACAACCCGGAGAATGCAAAAGGACGACCGAAGGCTATGTATATGTATTATGTAAATACCTCGTAACTTCTCGTAACAAAACACATACCTCCTGCCTATTGTCTTGTCTAACACCAACAATTTTCACACTAGATTTATAGCCACAGTTTACTCTCTCAGTTTTGCCTTGTATTTTCTTAGTTCTTAAGAATGTGTTCTGCACAATGTTTTACAGTAGAATTGCGTTGACATTATTTGGTTCATGATTTTATTGTAAGTTTCCCAAACTAATTAAACAAATCAACTCCAAAACGTTTTCAGTGAATGATCTCAATAGAAACTTGTACAATGATATTGCAATAAATAGTGTATGATTACTTTGTTAAAAAACCAAACCCAATACAGTCAAGCTGATAATAATATCATTTCATTTCACTAAAGCTCTTTGTTTCTTGTTAGAATAGGTATTATTAGTCAAAGTTAAAAAAAATTTCAAAATAAATTCAACGTCATTAATGATCCCCTTTATAGTATTCTCAGCTGACTTTACATTTAACACATTTTATAAAAAGTAATATCGATTGTGCCTTCATTAGCGAATAACTGCTAAACGAATAATCAAGATTCTAATGACTAGTGGAGGGTTAAGTGATACTTAAGATATATTACAGAATAGCTAAGGTGACATTTTTATTCATCAGTTTTAAGATAGAATGCGATACGAAAACCCTTGGTTCGATCCCGCGTAGATGCATGGATATAACTTGCTAATGCTACATTGCTGCTATTGGTTTTATAGTTGATTTTAGTCTGTGACAGAGTATGTAGTTGAAATTCTCTTCTACGTTTATCGGTAACTCAAGGTTTCACACTTTCGAGTGCCGTCAAATCAGATACATAACATAACATGAAAAATGATAACTGATAAATAAATAACTAATGTTCTTAATTAAATAGTATGCAATGAATCGTAGAAATAAGTTATACATTTTAAGAATTCCAGATTCAACATCTATACATGTATACATAAACAATTTGGCAAAGCTTTCACTTCTATTTTGAAGTATTATAAACTTTGGGGACGAATGTCCTATATCTACTGAGCTTAATAAGACAGACGTAAAGCGGTAACTCTACGATTTGTATTATCATAGTTCATTCTCACGAATATTCAAGGAAGTTTAGTGTTTTTGAACCACAAAAGTAGGTTCCCATATATAAAGAAATCTAAAAAATCGGTAAAAGTACATAGAACGCATTCCACAATCGATATACATGCAATGTTTTATTGATACCAAGGAACTTCATCTAAAATAATATTCGGTGACTCATATTTTCAACAATCTTCAGATCCTATGATGAAAAGTGACATTTATGAAGTGCGATATATATCACTTATACCTTAACCTAAAAGTCATTGAAAAACAACATTTTTAGTGTTAATTTATTTTAAATGTAGACATAACTGGGTCACTTTCACACTAAACAATTAATAAACGATTTTTCGATGTCGATTTTTTTATCTTTCTTAAAAGATATAAGGATTCAACTACTCAAACTGTAACGAGATGGTTGATCATATTGCTTTTTTTATAAGAACTCACACTAGAAAGATGTACAGTATAAAAACATTTTCATGATTTCACAATAAACATTGTACATAAAACCATCATTTCCCTTAATTATATAAAAATAATCACCGAGTCAGCATTACCGTTTGCTCTGATTAATTTAAAATGAAATAAATATATTGATATTTTCTATTTACTGTAATTTACTTAAGAAAATGTAAGCTTTATAAAAGGTATTGAAAAGTACCAGGAATATACATCAATCTTCAAAATATTAATTTTTTGTTGGCAGATTAGCCTTTAAGATACTACTTTTAATTCCGTTGTCAAATCTCAATTGTTTTCAGCCAAAAATTCTCAGATTGTCGTTTTGTTTGATATAGATTTATTGTAACCATCAAAAGTTCCTTAGAAGCAAAGATGGAGAGTGGTTAGTAGTGGAATTCAGGTCGCAGTTACGTTCCGTTTGGGAATCGTCATTTGGATATATTTGCATCTCAGAGTTGATGTTCATTCTGGGACTCGAAACCAGTACCGTTCGATCTAAACGCCATCACGTTATAAACTTAACTACTGAGTCCTGATAGACACTTGCTTGTGTAATGGGGTGAAGTTTTTCATTCACTTGATATTGTTTACTTGTATCTTCCCATTGATGTTCACGGCTGCAAATGATTATCAAAAATCTCCTTTAAACTATAGAAATCTTCTCATTAGATAATGTTTTTATTGGTGACTCATCAATTTAAATAGTGGTCAACCTAACATAGTTTGTTTATCTTTCATCAATTCACTCATGCACGTACTTGATCAGATTTGTTATCTGTTTAATTAATAGATGGAAAGAAAAAAATATTAAATTACTTTGGGAAAAAAAATTATTTGTTCCAAATCTAGTCGTGAAAAAGTATTATGAAAACAAAAATGAAGAAAATACATCCAAGTTAGATCTTATCATGCTATCTCTACATTAAAATTAAAACCCATTTCTTATCCCCAATATTATTAACCCAATGATGAATGAATGAAGAGAATATATAGAAATAATGGTTCCGCCCCATCTTATGGTTACCATCACGTCACTTTTAACAGTAATTATTTCGATAGTTGAGAAATAGTGTGAAAATCTTAGAGATTATGAAATTTAGATGATGGAGAAGATTTGTATTTCCGGTGGAGTTTTGTTCTCTGAGCTGGATGGTTTAGTCGTGGAGCTTTCATCGTTATTGTGAACGACATCATCAACACGAACTTTAGGTACAAGTAAAGTTTGTGCCGATGACGTCATTCGCAATGACGATGAAAGCTGCACGACTAAACCATCTAGCTCAAAGAACAAAACTTCACCTAGATTATGTTTTAAAAACTTGTAAGTTTTCAACACAAATTGCTTGTCTAATTTCTGAAAGCTAATTATCGTAAACGTGATCTTTATACTGAATAAATGGAAATGACGATGATCAAGTCGATTTCTAAATCAATAATAATAAAGTAAACAGTGAGAATTCTGTACAATTTATAAATATGATTACTTTTGCACGCAATTGTTTAGTGATTGATATCTCAAGTAGATAAACTTATTTTTTTCGATATTTATTAAGCTGCGATAGGGGTTCTCTACCATGCATTTTCAATATGATACAAATTTTGCATGTATTCTTCTGCGGTATAGACAACCAGGTGGTAAAATTTTGATTGTTCTTCCTATGATTTGATTTTTGGCTTTATAGTTATTTACAAATTGGTCCTATTCTAATATCTCTACAGTGTGCTGATTATTGTGGCTACTAAACTTATAAAAGGTCTTTTATCTTTTTTGGCTTCTTATAAACTCATGAATTAGACATTTCGTCTAGTTGAATTTGTGTCGACAAATGTCTACGTGCACTGATTTCGGTGAAGATTTGTCAAAACGATCGACGACGAATTGTTTTTCCTAAATACAGGCAAGGAGACTGTACCCACTTTGTCATATATGATTTTTTCAATTAATGGAATATTTTGTTGTGTAAATAATATTGTATTTGACTTCTTTTATCATTACAACTTCAAGTTAGCATAATGTTTATTGGAGTCCTTGTGATGGCTTGTGAGAAACCATTTCTGTTCGGGTTTAATTTGGAATAAATATAATCAAAATTGATTCTTAAACAAATAAGTAAAAAATAATTAAATTTTACACATAAACGTGAGAAATTAATGGAAATCTGTCCTGAGACAAAATACAATAATGTCGAAGTATTAAAATATGTATGTTTGTAATAAGTGAAATAAAACTTTTACCACATTTCCCTTCCCCCCCCCGAAAACGAAATATTATTTCTTTTAGGCAGAAATTTGTATATCATTGTTTTATTTTTTTTATAACCCCATGTATGTATTATGTATGGTGGCAGTTATGCAACATTGTACATTTTCAAACTAATTAATATTTAAAAATAAAAAAATAATTACAATGTTTCCTAATCATTTCATTATGTCTCGTATTAGAATTTAATCAGTGTTCTTTCACAGAAGCAGTTCATGTAGAAAAAACGATTGACAAAACTTACTTGTATATAAGTGTGTGTGTGTGTTTGTGTTTGTGTGAGTGTGAAATATTGAAGGTTTATTTTCGATTTATTCTTTGTCTGAAACAAATTATCCTCAGAAAGTGAAATTTTATAATTCACATAATTCCTAAAAAATAAAATATAAGGATCCACAGGAAACCTGTTTGAACATTGAAGAAATATGATACTAATAGAATATTTTCATAGAAAAGAAACAACTACTGCTTAAACTTGTGGCAAACGAATGAGCTTCACTTGTGTGAACAAAGTCATCGTGAGCAGTAGATGCTGATTGTAAAAGTCAAAACACTTTCGATTTGTAAGTTTTTAGTAGTTTTGTTTTTGGTTTAGTGTTATTGGATATTTCCTTATTTCCTATCATAAGCTGAGGCTGATAAGATAGATTTGCAGTTTGAAATGTGATACCTGATTACAATGCCACAAGATTGATAAATTTGAGGACTTATTCATGTTTTGTTAAAAGAAGATTTAATAAATTATTTAATCTTAATAACATCCACCCTTCGTGTTTCTCTTTGGTTTGTAAATCTATGAGACTTTACGGAATCTGATTGTGATTTGCAGAACGATTTATGCTCTAATTCAGTTTGTAAGAAGAATAACCCTCATAATCTGCTTTTCTTTGATCATACTAAAGGAAAAGCATATGCAACCTAAATTCTCATGGTAATCTAATTGTGTCGATAACGGTTATACAATCAAAAATGATAGGAAATTCATTTTCATAGCTGTGAGTCTTCAGAGGTTAACCTGAAATTCTCATTTTTCACATCACTATCACGTGTCCAATTCATAGACGTATAGTGAAAATTTTAGATCATATTTATATAACACATAGAATGTATTTAACAATTAAAACGTTCTGTTGAGTTGAACATTCTACAGGTATATCAAAAAATAGTTGAAATATATATAGCTGAACACTTTTCCAATAGAAACCCATCTTATATTTTAATTTAAACAAATTCACAGTAAAAAAAGCATCATACATACTTCTGTTAGTAAAATTTACAGTTTTACATAAATCTGGTCATATAAAGTCAGAAACAAACCCTACTTGAAGGGGGTTTTGTGGAGATTTTAGTAATTTTATATAATTGAGATCATTAGTCAATTGAGGCTAGATCACCATGAAAAACTTGGAAGCACTGGATGGCCGTTTAGTTCTATTGTGGGACTCCTCAGCAGTGCGCATACACGATCCCGCCCTGTGAGACTCCAACCCAGGACCTACCAGTCTCACGCGCGAGCACTTCACCGATAGACCACTGAGCCGGCATCCAACGGTATTAATATCTAACTTCAACCGATCCACGAAATTGAGCAACCATTCACCAATTTCATTAGTGAGTCCATATGTCCTAACAGACCTGGTTGAACTGCACTGGTTACTGCTTCTCACTAGAACTCCAGGAAATACCTCATGGAGCCAATCACTAGTGATCATATTGATTAATAATTTGTCAAATAAATGAATAAGCCGCATTGGGTATAATTTTTTTAAAAATTTTATACCTTAACAAAAACAAAAACATTTTACGGAAATTTATGCAAGTAGAATACCCTAAGGTTAATTTACTATTCCAATATATTTATTAATATTATTATGTTATAAATGATTAGTATAAGGCAAAATTATAATTATTCACTATGTTGGTGGTAAAATGTCATTTTTTTGTCCTCTATGCCGTATCTGATAACTCTTCATATGACTCATCTAACAGAATATTCACCAATAATACACAAATAACATTACTCAAATGGTCATGAGTTTCATTGTTCTCATTGTATTCGTTTTCTTCTATTCAAAATATTATTGGTTAATTATTATTTCTACAATCCTAAAATGAGGTTGATTTGGAATAATGACGGTAAAAATTTTTACTATTTTAGCATGAAAAGTAAAGGGTTGAAGTTAAAGTCAAATGTATATTTTCTGGATAACATCGTCATGTAAATTTATATTCAAACTCCTCCTGTAGCTCCTCCGGGGGCTACTGACAGTTCCAAGCGCGGGTAAAGGAAAAAGGTTGGGCATGGGGTTAGCGACCCCCATCCTGTGGAAAACCAACTCGCTAATAAAACGCTAACCAGAAAAAACTTATTCAAATTTATATTCTGTATTTCGGTACTAAATGTGAAGCATATATGTACGTAAACCGTGTACATTGATTATTTTTCCAGCTATGTGTACTATTTCGTTTACTAGAGCAGAAATACAAAACAAATTGAATGATATGGAAGGAATAATATCATGCATTAAAAATCTAAACCTGTTAGTCGTGATACCATATTTGACTATTACAATTAGGATCTTGTCAGTACAAGTAATGAATATAAATAATCTACATCAAAGGAAAAATGAAGTTTCTAAAAGAATATTAAAATTTCAATTTACTTTAGGTAACCAAAGAAAACACTACTTAAGTTGTGAGACTTTTGTTATTTGTTCAATAAACCGAATGAGAAAGATTGAGGATTGTTTTCAAGGAGATGATTACATGAATTGAAAAAAAATTTCCAGGGACGTTATAACATGAATTTGGTAATCACATCATACCATCAACTATAAGAAATGTAGAGATTACAGGAGCAACAAATTTGACATGTTTGAAAGTGTCCACCACAACTGATTTTTGTTTCTAAACAACATTGGACCTCCAACTTACTAAGACGAAATATTCAAGCGAATAAATGTCATGTGGCGTGATTTTTGAGAAGGTGACTACATAGTGGAGATATTCTAACTCAATGGGGTTACACTACTAAAAAAACTTGAGACGATTTATTAAGTCTGAGATTACATGACTTCTCCCTCAATTTAACTGGTTACATTGTAACGTAAGAAACACTTAACAAGTACATAAATGTGTATATTGTGATTACTAGTATTGTGTTGCTAAGTTTCTTTTATAGTAGATAGGTGCAAAGCTTAAGAAGTGTGTGTACTGGCTAGATGAAGAACTTTTCCTAAACACACTTCTACTGATAGAACCGTTCGTTTTTTTGATTAACAAAACTTCAAGGAAATTTAATTTATTATCTAGTTCATCTTCACATGTGAAATTAATGGCTGGGTGTTTGTTGTTAAACAGTTCTAGTAGTTCCACTTTGCCTATGTCCTGATCCACAATGATAAAAGTATCATCAACGTACCGACAATAGAATTCAAGCTTATTAATAACATCTTTGAGGGGTCCATTTTCTAGTTTCGCAAGGAAAAAGTCAGCAAGGATAGGACCTAGAGGTGAACCCATCACTTAATCAAATGTCTGACAAATAGAGCTAGGACGATTTGCTCAGTCGATTCAATCAACAATGAGTAACAGGTCATACATAATATGTTGATTGAAAGGGGTTATCCACAAGGTTTCCTGAAGAAACACTTGTATGTAACAAATAAGAAAATAAAGATATCAACAGCTGCGAAGAAACCGCTCTTCCTGAAACTACAATTCAACGGCGATTTAGCTGTTGACGTACTACGGGATAGACTGACTAAAGCAGTTAAGAGAACATTTAATGCAGCCGACCTCTGTCTTTCGTACTCGACACGATCTATGGTGATTCCCTAACTAAAGGATAAGTTGCCTGGTTATGCCACTTCTATGTGTATCTATGAATTCAGCTACTCCTGTAGAGAAAGCTATATTGGGTGCACTACCAGACAACTGAACCAAAGAGTTAATGAACACCTCCGTTCGTGATTAGGAAAAGGTATGGTCAAGTCTATACGGAGCTCAATTCTTTCACACTTGATCGATAGCAGTCATGAAGTTGGCAGAAATCAGTCTTTTAAAGTTATTTATCGTATTCCTACTAGTTTTTCTTATGGGGTTCGATCTCGTCTCTTACACATTGCAGAAGCTATAGGAATTCGATCCAACAACCCAAGTCTATGTGTTCATAAGAAATTTGTAACACCCTTATCTCTTCCTTGGACTTAATAAATAATTTTATTTTCCATACTCTTTCTTTGTTTATTTTTCTTCACACCCCTACCAATTATTTACTTATTATTTTTTCTAATATTCGTTTCACGGTCCAATTATCTGAACACTTCTTATTACGTAATCTTACAATTTCGATGAATGTGTTTATATTTTTCTAATCATCGACTTATTTTCCTATTATGTAACATTGATTCCCCTTCTAATATAATCATATGCTCACTAGTGACTGACTTCAAGATACATGTCCTGGAGTTCTAGTGGGAAGCAGTGACTAGTGGAGTTCAACCACGTCCGTTGTGAGATAGGAACTCACTGAAGACAATTGGTGAAGTGTCGCTCATAATTCGTGGATCAGTTGAAGTTAGACATTAACACCGTTGGATGCCAGCTCAGTGGCCTATCGGTTAAGGGCTTCGGCTCGAAACTGGTAGGTCCTGGGTTCGAATCCCGCGAGAGTAGGATCGTGGATGCGCACTGCTGAGAAGTCCCACAGTAGGGCAAAACGGCCGTCCAGTGCTTCCAGATTTTCGATGGTGGTCTAGCTTCAATTGACTCATGATTTCAACTTTGAAAAATAACCGTATTGACTCAATGTTTTCAAAAGGACCACATTTATAGTTGTAGAAACAATTAGAAGGCAATTGTTTGCTTCAAAGTAAAGATCCTCGTTTATGGGCCGTCGAATGCATTATTTATAAGGTTAAAAACAAGTAAGAATAGCTATAATTTTGAAAAAGGTTATATACTATTTTAACCTATGACAAATAATGGGGGAGACAATTATTGTGCAGCTAATTGTCATAGCAACCAAATATTTTTTATTAATTGTAAAACTATAAACAAACTGAGTCATCATATCCTTTTAGAATTATCATAATCACCAAGCCTTATATTAACAGTTCATTAATATGTGTTGTTAATTTTAATAAGTTATTAACTTAAGACAATAATATAGATTGTTATCTTAACATTGATGTAAACTGAATTCTAGATACTTATTGGCAGGCGATACTATAAAACCTTTGCTCTCTCTAATATGAACACCAAACAATAACTACTTTGAAATAAGAACCGTTTTTTGTAATCAGTTCTATATCATGACTTTACACTTCTATATTACCTCTTAAGCTTATTATAAAATCGACACATGTTATAAAGTAGTAATAAAATAACTTAATTGATCAATAACATTAGTTAGTTACAACAGATTAATCTCATAATATTGTTAATTGCCATTATACCTTAATCAATTGAACAATCAATCTCAATTGCTATTCACTTTAATCAATTCATAATTTCACTAGTAATCGGTGTTAATAAAACTTATTAAAATCATTGTCTTTTGATGCTGTTTATTTCTTTGAGCTAGACGATTTCACAGTCATACTAGACAACATCATCAACTCTATGTGATGATTACTTACAAATAGGAATAATCAGAAGTGGTTTTGTGGAGACTTAGCATTTTCATAGTTGAAATCATGAGTCAATTGAAGCTAGACCACCATGGAAAACCTGGAAGCACTGGATGGCCGGTTCGTTCTATTGTGGGACTCCTCAGCAGTGCGCGCACACGACCTCGAATCAAAGACCTACCAGTCTCGCGCACGAGCACTTAACCGATAGACCACTGAGCCGGCATCCGATGGTGTTTATGTCTAACTTCAACCAATCCATGAAGTTGAGCAACCGTTCATCAATTGTCTTCAGTGAGTTCCTATCTCACAGCAGACCTGGTTTGAACTCCACTAGTCACTGCTTCTCACTAGAACTCCAGGATTGACCTCTCGAAGTCAGTCAATCTGAATAAGTAACTCACTTTCGCAATGAAAAGATATCAGAAGGTATAGCTGATTGTCGGAATATCTGTCATTTTATATCGATCCAAATAGCAAACTTTGCGTCAGAATATTTAACAGATAATAAATATGATCCGAATTTATTTAAATTATATGTTAAATTGTGAAACTGGAATCAAATCAAATTGTTAATCTTAGAAATTTACAAAATATTTATAGTTATTGTTACAGTATAAAACTAGAGTTCAGTTGGACTAATCCAAAAGAACTCGTTTATTTCATTTCTGAATACTTAAGAAGCTATTTATAATTTAGTCAAAATTAGGTCTATGTGTATAATACCTGTGATCATACTATTCTTTTATTTTAGTCTCCACAGAAACAAAGTTGTTACTGTAACTTATTTAAAACATTTTCAAAGTTTTTCGCATTTTTAAATCGCTTATATAATCGCTGATTTCAATATGCTACCAATCGATGGCAAGATTATAATTTAACTATCAGAAAGCAGAAAAAGATAACAGTCTTTAGACCTACTGAAAGTAACTGTAAGGACTTTAAGTGTAAGGACGGATTCAACTTAGAATAACGTATACACTTCTGTTTTAAATATGCCGAGACAAAAATATACCTTTCAGTAGATTCAGTATGACTTTTAAACAATAACTAAATGTTATTCTCAAAGTCCACTGCTGAGACTAACCGCATACTATAAAACAATGATTACAATGTCAACTGTTTCTTCTTCACATATAATCAAACCAATGTTATGATCTTATGAGTTAAGAAAAAGGGGATGACCCAGTGATCCTGCAAATCAGCTATTAGGTTGATTGTAAGCAATGCCAACCTTCAGATTTCTACATTATACCACAGATTAGCAAGATTTGTTTTAACTTCACCGAGTTATCATCTTTCCATATAATTATCCGGATAAACCTTCAAATAAGGGTGTCTTTAGATTTTTTATTTCACATTGATAAATTCTCTTAAATCGTCATTCATAAATGAACATAGACTAAATCTCTTAAACAAAGTCCTAAAGAGGTTTTCTGTAAGACGTTTAATCTAAAAATCCACGGTTTACATTTTATTTATGTCATCTTCTGTATTGAGTTTATGGTAGTTATTTAGCGAACTACCAGAAATATCGTTTCTTTTGAATTATTTTCTAAACTATGATGGGGATATTTACCTTAAAAAAAAGATGAGAACTCTTTTAACAAGTTCAACAAAGGTGGTCAATAAATTACAACTTATAACTGAAATTAGGCCTACAGGACTTACGATACAATAAAAAAATAGTTTTATTTTTTGAGCTAGACCTAACCATCCATCTCGGCGAACAAAACTCTATCAAAATCATTCACCTGAGCTATAAATCTTCTCCACCATCTCAAAAAATAGAACTTGACTGTGACACAGTGAAATATTTTGTCATTACAAGCAAATTCTATCACTGACTCAGTATGTAAAAGAAACTCAAGGTTTCTACAGCCAACTAAGTAATTGTCCCTCGTTACATCTGCAGATAAAATATTAAAAAAATAAATTCTCACAGTATTCGATGATGGGAAATTTTTTTGGCAAATTTGATTTGTAGTTTCAGGTTGCGACAAAAGGGTTTTCATTCTGTTTACTAAATTTTTAGGTCTAAAATGCTACATCAGGATTGTCTCACTCTATGAATATTATACGAAAGATAATTTGCGATATCATAGATTAAATAATAGATGACATACCAAATGTTTCAGGACACATAAATCAATCTTTTATTAAAAGTGTAACACAAAATAACATTTCAATATGTTTTCATAGAACAAAGTTGGAACTCATGTATTTATCTCTGTTATGAGCGTATACAGATTATTAAATCAAGTGATTAGTAGTGTGATGAACTAAAGTTCATCTTTATTTTCACCAATTATAAAAGTTAAGTATCTCATGTATATTGCACTATACAATGATAATGTTGTTGGACCTGTGTCAGGTAAAAGACGATTGACATTATCACAAACAGATTTAAAAGATTCGTAAGTTTCGATTTGAAGTGAATGGTCACAGTTATATGTAGTGAAATTGTATAAAATTAGTAGTATCAATCAAGGTGAATTATGATGCTGAGTCGATCTAATAGATAAATTTTAATCATCACTATGGATTACGAAATTCTGATATTGATTCGTATTTAGTCAAAAATTAATATAACCATCTTAGTTCAGCAGCAGGTTATTTATCTGAATAGCTCATTAGTAAGCTCTTTGACTGTGACTGGTTTTTAAACTTTGTTTGAACATCATGAAAACATCAGTTTCTTCAAGGGGTGAGATATAACTTACAGATGAGTACTTATAAAATTTAGGTTCAAATATTATCGTTAATTACTTCCAGGCATCATCTATTCAAATATCTATTATTATCAAGAATTTATCTATTATCTTTTAACTGTAATAACATTTTATGATAATAGTTAAATTAATGGATTAACCTGAAAATTGGACACTATTTTTCTTTAGTTCAAATATATACGCATTATCCTACCAAAAAGAGATCCTTTTCCCAGAATTCCAGTTCAAAGCCGTAGAGTTGCATTTACTCGTAGAACGCTAATATAATGCGATGTGATTAGAGAATAAGAATACTATAATACATGGAAAGTGTATAGCTATTGAAGCAAATATGAATGTATCAGAAGGGGTTTTGTGAATATTTTAGTAATTTTAATAGTTTTTTTTTTCTGTTAGTCACATTCATATTTTCAGTAGTTGAGATCATGAGTCAACTGAAGTTATACCACCACTGAAAATCTGGCAGCAATGAACGGCCGTTTCGGCCTATTGTGGGATGTGTCTCTCAATTTCGTGGATTGGTTGAAGCTAGACATTAACACCGTTGGATCCCGGCTCAGGGGTCTAATGATTAAGTGTTCACGCACGAGGCTTATAGGTTCTGGGTTCGAATCTCACGGGGTGGGATGTGAACTGCTGAGGAGTCACACAATAGGACGAAACGACCATCTAGTGCTTCCAGGTTTTCTATGTAAGTTTAGCTTCAATTGACTCATGATCTCAACTACTGAAAATATGAATGTGACTAACAGAAAAATTTATATAAAGAACACTAATCGAGAATTTCATGTAGGGACATATTTTCTAACAATAATATCGAAAGAAAATATAAAGAATATAAATGTTTTGTAGACTTAATAGTGAAATATAATAAATGTATAGCCTTGATGAAGATACGGTTCAAAACAAACCCCATGGAACACAAACCATATTTAAGATGATGGATGAATAAAGTAATTTACAACAAATTTAGATATAAAACTGTCAAAATGATTGACGTGACGAGTAAATTAGGTAAAAAATTAATTGTAAGCTCAGTATTCCAAATCTCTTACATATTATAGAACTGTAAACGTAATTGATCTACAAAGATGTTTAGTGGCTAGCATCGGAATCCAGGACGCGCGTTTCGTCGTATTTAGATTAGAATTTGGTAGAACACAAATAGTGGATACACATTCGCCATTGCAAACGATTTTAAGCCATGTCATTCAAGGTCTCTAACCATCGATTGCTATCATCTTGCTAATCCCAACCAGGTAGTCTACACCTACCAGCATGGCTCAGTCCAATTGTCAGTGACTTCATGGACTTGTGCCCTAGTTATTTAACTTTTTCTTCTATCCAAGTTATTGTTTTAGTATATCTAGTAAATATATGAAAACTCTTAACCACTTATTATATTAGAAAACTGATAAGAAGTTTCATATTTTTCATAAATTGTTTTTCTTTAGGATTTATATAAACTAATTTATTTAGTGTGTTTTTCCTCCAAAAAATGTCTTTTCAATATGCTACTATGATAAAGGCATTTGTGGTTTTAAAGTATGTTCATGAAATTCTGATAATTACAAAATTGTAAGATAAGTGTTGGTATTCAATTTATAATAGAATTTACTCACTTTAGATACATCGTCGTTTTGTCAAGTAAACACTTGAGTTATTTCGGGGATTTTTGGCAAAAGTTTTACTCTTTTCTTCTGTCTACAATCTTGTACTTTCTATTTCATAACGAATGTGCAATTTGTTGTGTGATTCGATTATTAAAATAAAAATATATATTACATAAAAATTGTATCATTCTTAAGTTTATAAAGTACCCAGTTCGTCTAAATAGAAAAAAGCATAGCCAAACTAACGTGAATCACAACTCCTCATTGCATTCATACATCAATCCTGTGTATTTTCTATAAATGTCTGATTCTACTAAGTTTCAACAGGATAATTTGGATAGAAAAAAATATAATAACGAGGGAAATTTCATAACAACAATAATTAGAGGATCAAAAAACACAGCAAGCGTTCTTCAATAACATACTGTAAAAGAAATCAATAATATCATGATTGGAATTTAAGTTAGAGTATTCAGAGTGAATAAGTAAAACCACAAAAACAGTCAGATTCAATATTCAGTTTGAATTATGTCGAGAATACTTACTTACTCCTGTTATCCCTCGTGGAAGAACATAGGCCGCCCATCATCACTCACCATCCAACCCTGTCCTGGGCAATCTTTTCCAGCTCTATCCAGTTGTTATTCATCCTTTTCATTAGTGCTTCCGATTCTCGACTCAGTGTGTTCTTTAGCCTGCCTTTTCTCCTCTTCCCTGCAGCATTCCTAGTTAGGGATTGCTTCGTGGTGCAGTTTGATGATTTCCTTAATGTATGTTCTATCCACAATAGAACTGTCTTGACGTTCGCATTGAAGGTTCTGACTTTAATGTTGATTTGCAGACAGTTGTTTTGAGTTTCATATGTTCGTCAACCGTAGGAATGCTGTCCTTGCTTTGTAAATCCTCGCCTATAAGTCTGCATCGGATCCTCTTTGTTCATCGATGATGCTGATCAGGTAAGTGAAACTCCCAAGCATTTTCAAAGTCTCTCGATAGAGTGTGATTGAGTTGGTGTTCTCCGTGTTGTGTTTGAGAATCGTGTTGAGGCCTATTGATGCAGAGGCTACTGTTACACTAGTTGTCTTGACGTACATTTGCTCGTGTGTATGGGAAAGGAGGGCTAGGTCATCTGTGAAGTCCAAATCTTCTAATTGATTATGAAATGTCCATTGTATTCTGTGCTTTGCCTTAGATGTGAACGTCTTCATAATCCAGTCAACCACCAAAAGAAACAGAAAGGAAAAGAGTAAGCAGCCTTGTCTGACTCTGGTCCTTACATAGAATGCATCTGTCAGCTATCCTCCATTTATCTTTTGACAGTGTAGTTCATCACATGAACTCCGGAGTGATTTTCCCCGGTACTCCATAGTGTGGAAGAAGGTTTCGTTATTCTCTATTATCTACGCTGTCAAACGACATCTCATATTCAAGGAAGTTGATGTTTAGTGACGAAATCTTTTCAGTTTATCTGTGGCACTTTTTCTCCTTCCCAAACTTCCTAAATAGAACGTGAAGCATACTTGCAACTACTTCCATGTCTGACTTCAGAGCTTCCGCTTGTATATTGTCAGGTCCTGCTGCTTTCTTGCTCTTGATTTGTCTGATGACCTTCCCGATTTATTCCATCGTTGGTGGAATGACATCTATTAAAAGTCTGTAGTTGCTGGTTCGATTTCTGGTGGATTCAATCGAGCTGGTTTATTCAAGAGTTCCTCGAAGTGTTCAACCCATCCGTTCCATTGCTCTTCAATCTCAGTGATTTGTTTGCCCCCTTTGGCCTTGACCGGTCTCTTTGGCCTTGACCGGTCTCTCTGGCCTACTATACATACGTGCCAGTGTCCATATTTTGTGATAAAGTGGACGCACATTTCCTTTTATTGAAGCTTTTTTCGCTGTCGTTGCTAGCTGATTCACATATTTCTGACTGTCGGATCTAAAGCTCTTCTTCACTAGCTTGTTTGCTTCAGTGTATTCAAGTTGTGCTTCGACTTTATCTGTTCTTGTTTGTCTGTTGTCGGTCACTGTCTACTTTTACGCCGTTACTTGAATCTTTCCTAGAGATTCGATAGAGCTTTATTTCTTATGATGATGTTAGTTGAGACCTGCAATCTCCTGATACGTTGATGACATTGCTTCTCTGAGGCCTTTTCAATTGTCCTTCATAGAAGATTCTTTTATTAATCTGATTCTGTAAGGCCTGTAACCCGCTTTTGAGAGTTATCCTGAATTCGTTCAGTTTGATAGTATCTAGTGGTAGAGCTCTATTAAACCCCTAAATTTCTGTATATTCAGTTGTTCAATGCACATTTCGATTCAATTTCATCTTGACCATGATGAGAGAAGGATTCTACAATATCTACGGTAAAAAATGAAACTCTGGAATCGATGGAAGATTAGGTAGTCAACATAATAGACATACAGAATAATCGGTAATTCAGAAGGGAAAAAATTAAAAGAGTCATTTAGGTTTGGGAATGCTTTACATTACTAATATGCCATTATCTATATTCATATTTATATACCGTCAGCATCTACGTAAGTCAAATGTGAATTAAGCGGACATAGCAAATACAGATTTCTCATAACTCCACTCCACACTCACAATTATTTATTTTCTATTCACTTAACGGAATTTATTTTCACTGTCTTCATCTTTTACACCATACCCTTTCATATGTAGATACATATAATACTTCGATTACTGTAAGCAATGGACAGCAACCAAAATTAATATGACATTAACAATTCAACACAAAGAAAACTCACTGTGTGCATTTCACTGCTAACGTTATGACTGTATTATGTAACTCATACTTCACATTTATATTCGACGATTAGAAATAAGTAGTAGAGTGAAATATTTACTACAGCATAGAATGTCATACGTGATTGGAAGCAAGAAATATCTAAGTGATAAATAACTGTAGCTGATAGACAGCTAATAAATTGCTTACTTACAACCACTTGGAATATTGTTGATCAAGGAGTGATTACTCCATTTTCAACGATTTTGATTTAGAAATCAACGGCATTGAATTTGTATATAAAAGCATGTGCCAAATAAATGAGATTTGGTTGACTGATTATGTATGACTTACTTTTACCAATACGTTTCATCACGTGCTTGTATTCATTGTCCGATGACTGAATAATGTGATGGTGTATGCAAATGAGATAAGATAGATAGCACTTCCATCTACAGTCAATAAACTCAAATGGTTTATAAAATTGATAAAAGTAAACAATTTTTCAACTGATCAGTTATTAACTCTTAAAGAGTACATTACATTCTACCTCCATCTACTTATGTCAATCTATTAATGCAAACTGAAGTTATCTCCAGCCTAAACTGAACTATGTTTGATATGTTCTACTAGTGTGGCATGAATGCAAACACACGTATCCCAAAAATGCACAATGACAGATTTTTCGTTTAAATAATAATTAATTATTCATTTCTACTTACAGAACTATATCTCCAAAAAATAGCCTAGTAGATGTCTGTCACTTATGTGGGAATTGTAAGTCAACATATTTGTTATTTTATCAATTTGCATAGTATTGCATTCAAGTAATTTTTAGAATGTAATCATGTGAAAAATATTTTTGAATCGCGATAAGAATGATGTGGCTATACAGTCAGTTCAAAAGTTGTTTTGAGAGATACTGAAAAATATGCGATCTCCTCAAAGCATTAGAGATAGATAGTTGAACTAAGAATCTATCACCAATGTACAGATGATTTTGTGCGTTAAAGTACAATGTGGTTCGATCCTGATTGTTGTATAACCAAACACTTCACATTAGGAAATCCGATCACGTCTCGATTTTCGTGTTGACTTATTTACATGATACAATCATCATACCATGTCATTAAAATTTACAAGTTAATAAAGCCTACAACAATAGAATGTGGGAAAAGTCTACCTAAGACAACCCAATGTATTTTGATTATATCGACTGTAATTTAGGATAGGAAAGGATAGGAAATACGTTTTCCTAGTGAACAAACGTTCCCTGAACAAAAAAATTAATCTTGTATATGTTTCAAGTTGGTTGAAATGTATGTTTTATTATTGTTTTTCGATATGCACACTGATATATGAACATATTTTTCACATAGTACTAGGAAACTGATAATACTATTTTATTTATTTTAAAAATTGAATCGCCTGATAAAGTAGACATTAGTTATATAATATAAAATTTGAAGCGCTAGTTGATCTTTTCGTCCTAGTATGGGACTTCTCAATAGCGTGCATCCACAGTACTAGGACGAAATGACCGTCTTGTGCTTCTTGGTTTTCAGTGATGTTCTAGCTTAGATAGACTCGTGAATTCAACTGTGAAAATACTATAATGTCCACAAATTCTCATTTCATAATTATCATGCGCTCACTGGTGACTGGCTTCAAGATGGATTTTCTGGAGTTATAGTGATCAATAGAGTTCAATCCGTGTTGAATGCAGACATATTTTAGAAATAGACAAGGGATGAAATGTTGCGGAAGTTCATGGATCGATTGAAGTTAAACACTGACACAGTTTGATGGCGATTCATTGGTCTAATAGTCAACCGTTCTCTCCCGAAACCGAAGTTGCTGTGTTCCAATCGTGCGTGCCGAATCGTGTATACTAACTTTTGAGGAGTCATATGCTTGGAAGACACGGACGTCCAGCGCCTTCAAGTTTTCAATGCTGGCCTAGCTTTGATCAACTGATGTAAGCGATTGTTAAAATAAATGCTTTTCTGATAAAATTTTCACGCTTAAGTCAATATAAATTAAATCTAAACATGATATATTTACCGCAACACAAAAAACTAGGAGTTTAGTTTTGAAACTCAACTCAATTATCATATTTAATAACAAAATTAGAATATATTTTATACTGTCAAATTGTCTCATTCTCTTCAGATAATCTTCAGTTGTTGTAAATCCTAAATGCTTTATCTCTTAGACTTATCTAATTGTTGCCTATAGTTTCCATGAGAATTAGTTCACCTACTTTTATAATTTAC